CCATTGGAATGACCATGGGTCCTGCCATCATCTTTTAATTTTTATGATATTGTAGCTCCTGATAATTGATCCCCTTGTCTTCTGACCTCAAAACTACAATCCATTCTGAACCCAATGTAAGAATTTTATTCAAAGGAAGAGTAAAATTTTTTCACCAGATTAACACTCAGAAAGAATTCTTCCTCATCTCCTTAAATGAACAAAATTTACTCATTCTGATAACCACCTAGTTTGTCAAGAGTTGACCATAGTGATGACTGCTTCACTTTTGACCTTTGCTAGGCCATTTATTTGACTGCTCTGATACCATTTTGTATCTCCATCCAGAGGTAGCCTAAATGCAAATGACCAAATCTTGAACCAAATTTTTAGCATTAGATCTATTTCCTCAGACCTCCTCGTCTTGCTTTGTTTTTTTTCATATTAGTAACTTCTTAAATTCTTTATTATTTGACATGGATTTTTAAATTTGATTAGTTTATACCATTGCCATGTTATAACTGTTACTGAACATAAGCTGCTTCTACAATCTGACAACCAAATTTACTTGAGAATGAGTCTTCTTTCTCCCTCCAACTTGCACCACTGTTTATTGTCTTATTTAGGAGCATACCGTAGGTATTAAATGAATTATTTAAATAAAATATAATTGATGTGAGAAAATGGTCTGTATTCTATCAATTATATTATAAATAAATGCTGATTGGCCAGTAGCCAGGTAGGAAGTATAGACTGGATAACCAGATAGGAAGTAGAGGCAGGTCATGAGAACAGAATTCTTGGAAGATGGAAGCCCATTCCTCTGCAGTCCTGGTCCAGCCACAGAAGAAGCAAATATGACTGCCTCACTGAAAAGAGTACTGAGCCATGTGGATAACACAGATAAGAATAATGAGCTAATATACGTTGTAAGAGTTAATAAGAAGCCTGAGCTAATGGGTCAGTCTGTTTATAACTAATGTAGATCTCTGTGTGATTTCTTTGGAACTTGATGACTTCAGGAACCAAGCAGGACAGAGAACTCAGTCAACATACCACAGAACAAAATCTTTAGATTTGCTTTCCAAGAACCAAATCAGGAAATTAAAAGTAGAAGACACTGTATGTAAGTTTTTCAATCTCAAACCAATGGTACAGAGAGAGTGGATTCTCTGCCCCAGAGCCTGGAGAGATGGCTTAGCTGTTAAAAGCATGAGAGCGATTCGCACTATATGCCTCTACGGAACTCATAAAGAAGCTGTAAGATAAGCTTTTCTGAAATACTTGACAAAATAAGTATAATGCTTGTTTGGAAAAGGAACAACCTCATCTCCCCCTAAAAAAAGAAAAGATCTAAGACCATTTCCCTCTCATTATAAAAGCAATGTATTTCATGTGTGGGAGAGGTGGGAGAAAAATCATGAGCCCTTGTCTGCTGGGCTGCAGAGGGTATCTTGACAACAGGTCCCCAGCCTTACATATGCCCCACACTTTCTTAGTCCCAGGACTCTTCCCACTGAACTCCTCAAGTACATGAAAAAAAATTGAATTTAATAAATATATCAAATGCATCTTTACAATAAAGGAAAAAAAGCACAAGGTGTCTTCCAGAGGACTCAAGTTCAAACCATAGAAAACCAGGTTCCAAATGGTAGCTCATGACCATCTATAACTCCAATTCTAGGAAATATACTGCCCTCTTTTTATTTTTATGGGCACTAGGCATGCCCACAGTATACAACCAGAATGTCCATAAATATAAAAATAATAAAATAACAATTTAAATGTTTGTTGGCTGAGACAGATGAACATTAAAAAATAAAGGGAAAGTAGGCTCTTCCATTTTCCAAACAATAATATTTTAAATACTAATATATTATAAAATAAACACAATAAGCATAGCTGATTTTTGTTTCAAGAGCTGAAGTCTAAAATAATTGGAAGCAATAATAGCTAAATTTGATCTACCAAAGAGAAAATGTGTAGCATCATTGTTCAGTCTTACAATGGATCTATGAACACCACACAAGTTAAGGGGATGAAAAGGGTAGGAGATGAGTCAAATGAAAAACTAACTCTAAACTACTCTGCATAAGATGCAGAGGAAAAGGGACTGCAAACAAAAGCTAGGATCAGTCATTTCAACTTCTAAAATATACTAAAAACATGATATATGGCCTCTGGACTTGGAAAAGTAACTTTTTACATGCAATGTTGTCTTTAATGAAATCGTATAATGTTCAAGGATTAACCTAAGATTGCTAAAGAGCCCTATCAGCATTTAATATTCAACAACTGCTATTTCTTTTAGTTTAAACCAAGTCATTAAATATGCATTACTAAAGACCTCTTTAGTAATTTATTTATTTAGTAATTAATATTTAGTAATTACTGTAAGGTTTGGGAATAGTGTTTTTCATGAAACAAACAGACCTTAGATCAGTCATAGAATTTTAGCATTTAACTTTTAGGCTAACAGTATAGGGAAGCATTAGACGTATGGAAGCTTCAAATTTCATTCCGTAAAGAAAGATCCAAACATTCTATTGTATATTTTCTTAATATGAAAAATATAGCAGATCACAATCATGATGTTCTTCATGTTAATTGTGTTGTGGAATGTGAAATGTATACTACAGACTCTTAATTAATGTTCTCTTGCCCATAACCCCACTATTTCCATAAATTTGCTACAAAACACTGGATGACTATGCCCCCAAAATGTTGACAACCGGAAATTTCAACTATTTCTTTTTTTTAAATTTTCTCTGTCTTCCTCATGGTAAGAATTATATTTTTATCATATACAAATTGTCATCTCTTCTCTCCAAAAGTGCTTATGATTTTTTCGGCCTAAATCTGTAGTAATAACACAATTTTACACACACACACACACACACACACACAGATTAAGTACATGATGACTAAGTGTTTTGTTTTCTATCAAAAGCCATAATGAACATTTTGTTGCTTATAAAAAAAAAAAGACTGAAATTTGGTTTAATTTTGATTATTTCAATAAACAGTGTCCATGAATATCTATAATATATACTTATATGACATGATTATCAATTATGATGATTAATTAGCAAGAACACTTGAGTTGAATAGTCCAAGTAATTGACTTCCAAATGAATAACTACTAGCATTTATTCAACATCTATGTATGTACTGCGTATATTAGTTCAACATGAACGAGACAGTCATTACTCTTATACCCATTCTAAGATGACATTATGAAATTTGTTCATTATCTAACAGCTAGTAGTGAGTCCAGGATTAAAAAGGTGTTTTAAATCCACAGTCTGCATTCTTAAGTACCTGTTCATGAGATTTCATGGTTGACAGAGTAATATTAGGAGAAAATGCATAAATATCAGTACTGATACTATTGTATTCCTTTTTTTCCCTTTAGGAATCTTATTCAAAAGCTTTTCCCTAGGCCATCCTCTTTAACCAAACAAGGCTATTGAATGGTGCCGTGTTACCTGCAGTGTTTACCATACATAACAACATTCCATTGTGGTGAGTGTTTTGTAATATTTATTTTGTTTGTTGAACCTTACTCATGTTAGACAAGTGGCCTACACCTGGACTGTATACCCCACATGAGTTTTATGGAGTTTGTTGTTTGTTTGTTTGTTTGTTTTAATGAATGAAGACTTGAGAACTTCAGTAATCTGGTTTTATTTTCCCAAATAAAAATTAAACTTGCTTTCATGAATTTACATTTGTATCCATTTTTTACTAACTTGAAACTCTCCAATTTGGGAGGAAGCACCAGCTGAAATAAATAAAGGAAGTCAATGACATGATTAATCACACCAACAGTGTGAACAACAAACATCAGCATAATCCTTCCATCACTCTAAAGATAATGTTTACACAAAACAAAAATTCCAAAGAAACATTCAGAGCAGGGTAAAGCCTAGATTTCCTACCATGAAGAAATATTAAGCAAATCACAAAAGCTTGGAGGTTCTCGGTTTTCTCATTTAAAAGTAGGAATAAAAATAAGATCTTAAATGTTTACATATAAAGTAGCTAATATGGAAAAAGAAACCCAATATATATTAATCTGATGTACTTTTTAAAAAAAAAATCTATATTGGTACCTGGCTAATATCACTAAACTTTCACTTTCTGATAATTAAGATATGGATAAAATCTCAGTGAAAGAATAAATAGTAGCTCCCAAGGTCCAAATGAGGAGCAGAAGGGGGGAAAACATGAGCCAGGAAGTCAGAACCACAAGAGAGCCTTCATCCGACGACGGATGGAGATAGAGACAGAGACCCACATTGGAGCATTGGACTTAGCTCCCAACGTCCAAATGAGGAGTAGAAGGAGAGAGAACATGAGCAAGAAAGTCAGGACCGCAAGGGGTGCGTCCACCCACTGAGATGGTGGGACTGATCTAATGGGAGCTCACCAAGGCCAGCTGGACTTGGACTGATGGAGCATGTGATCAAACCGGATTCTCTGAATGTGGCTGATGGTGGAGGCTAAATGAGAAGCCAAAGACAATGGCGTTGGGCTTTAATACTACTGCATGGACAGACTTTGAGGGAGCCTTGTCTGTTTGGATGCTCACCTTCATGGACCTGGGGGGAATCAGGAGGACCTTGGACTTCCCATAGGGTAGGGAACCCTCACTGTTCTTTGACCTGGAGAAGGAGGGGGAGTGGGAGTGGGGGAAGGGGAGGGAAATGGGAGGAGGGGAGGAGGTGTAAAGTTTTAATAATAATAAAAAAATAAGAATAAAAAAATAAATTCCGAAAAAAAGAATGTTCTATGATCTGAATAGCCATAATAACAGTGAAATAAGTAATTAGAAAGCTGTAAATTACACAACTTAATTCAGACCTAAAAACACCTCATTTCCTAGCTTTATACACATTCTCACTCTGCAATCATGAGTGTCAAGAACTGTAAATAAAAATGTGTTCTTTTATGATTGTCTGCCAAAATCATTCAGTATGAATACAATTGAGTGAAGAACAAAATTAGAGATCACTTACCATATATGGCGCTTGGCTATTTCAAAATTTGAATACATCCATCTTCAAAATACTTCTACAAAATTAATCTGTGAAGAAGAAAAATCCAAATGTAAGAAATCTGACAATGTCACAGAAAACTGATTAAGGTCTACAAACAGGTACTATATACTTTCTTTTGATGAAATAAATTATTTCCAAAATACATATTATATACCTAGCAAATTCAAAAGCCACAAAACAGAAATATTTCCATCTATGTGTGAATATTTTAAATAACTGTCACAGATACTCATAAGGAACACGAATACAGCATTCAAGTTCGAGAATAACTTTTAAGTACACAATTTTCACAAAATATTGATAAAATCATATTAAAGCAACTCAGAACAGTAGTTGATAAGTAAATTTAGGTAGATATCCAAGGAAATTACTCAAATCACACAAATTTTTTAACAAATTTTTAATGCACTTTTGTGTAAATACAAAAATTGCTGAGTTAGAAGAGAATTCTGCTTGAATTATCAAGAGAATTGCACCAACTCACTTTGTAATTGCATTTCAAGTCTAATTGAAAGTCATGTACTGAAAAACCTACTGCTTGAACACCTTACAAAAACACACCCACAGCTGGGTTCTGCTTTCTGCAATGTCAACGTGAGAAAAAGTGATTTAATCAGGCTTTATTAATTAATTTGTTTTGAAGGATTAGTATTAAAAGGGCACATTAACTTTGAAGCCAAATGTATTTCTATTTAAATGACTTTGATGCTACTAAGTACACTGTTTATTAAAGAGTTATTCAGAAGAGATGAACTACCAACTAATGATAATTATATTAAGCTCTTTAAAGTACAGGTTATTTCAGACAGACCAGGTGCATTGTAGTTACAAATCCCCCAAGAAGCAAGATTCTTCAGAGGAATGTTAGTTTCAGAGAGCAGTGGAATTTCTGACATTTAGAACACGTGTCATAAGCTGAATTCTCATTTATCTTCCTAGAACATAGGAAAGAGATGAGGATGGAACTTGTCTCTACCTGACCCATAAAAGGATGTTTTTCTCTACTTAACACATGGCTTCAGACAGGGAGAAAAGAGACAGATAAAGTTTTCAGAATTGAAGCTAAATTGAAAGAGTAACCCTAGAAAGAGTCAAGAAACTCGGTATTTCTGTGAATTTCACTTTTCTGTGTTCTGTAAATTTCACTTTTCTTAGTTCCTAGAACACAGAATAGATAAATTTGTCTTCACATGCTATTTCAATTAAATAATTAAGTTACAAAAATAAACATATTTAAATAATTAAGCTACAAAATAAACATATTGCTATATTCTTTATATATGCATGCTACAAGAGACTAAGCTGAGCACAAATCATGTGACTTCTCAATTGGACAGAGCTAGTAGGAGGTGATTACCCACTCACAACTAATCTTGTAACTGGAGTTTCATCTGCCAAAACCTGCTAGGAAGTGTGCACTACCAGGCCTCCCTGAGCTGTGGGAAGCAGACAACAGCTTCAAATGGGGCCCAACACAAAATCATAAATGTACCTAAAATATGAGATTTTTGGTGGGTTTCCAGATTCTGAATCATTGTCATTCTCCAGCAAGAACTTTGCAAATTATCACATCAAAACTCAGTCATGCAGTCTTCTAGCATGAGCATTCTAGATAACAACATAATTTCACAATGACAAAGACTGTGAATGTCTGTAACTGGTTGTAAACTGGGAACATGGTCAAATTTGAGCAATGACATCACTCATACAATTATATAAACAAGCATTAAAGTTTGTATGACACCACATATGCATGCACAAAATGAGAAGAAGGAAGAGGAGGAGAAGGAGCAGAAAACCAGATAGTGAAAGGAACAAAGCAGGAATCATGCTATGTGACTTTAAATATACCACAGAGATGTGGTAATCCAAACAGCATGGTATTGGCTTAGAAGGACACACAGACTAACAGAACAGAAGAGAGTGTCTAAAAGAAAACTCTTTTATTAAAAGTCAGGGTTTTTTCGAACATCAGAAGGACAAAGTGGAGGGAACACAGTTTGTCTAATAGGTGGCCGTGGGAAACTGGGCATCATGTGCAGAGCAAGGAAACTCGACCCCCATCTCCATGTTGTAAAAGTCAGCTCAACCAAAAGAGAGAGAAAGAAGCTGGTCGGTGGTGGCACACATCTTTCATCCTTGCTCTTGGGAGTTAGAGGCAGTTAGATCTTAGAGAGTTCGAGGCCAGCCTAGTCTACAAAGCGAGTTCCAGGACATCTAGAACTGTTACACAGAGAAACCCTGTCTCAAGAAAACAGAAAAACACACAAACAAAAAGGGAGCTCAAGATTGATTTCAAACTATGAGGAAAACAAGAAAAGTACTAAATGCAGTAGGAGAAAAAAGAACACTGTGCCAACACATTGGAAAGAGCAAGTATTTCCTAAACAAGAACATAAAGGTGCAAACAACAAAGTGACAATAAAAAAAATAATATGGCATTCAACTTAATACCCTCTGCAGAGCAAAGGAAAATTATATCACAGGATCCAAGGGAATATTCGCAAAATATACATTAGATGAGAAATTGATATTCAGAACATGCAAAGAATTTCAAACACTCAAAGCAAGAAGCTAATAACCCAATTTAAAAATGGACAATTAAGTAAACATTTAGCAAAAAATCATAAAAATATTGAATTTATAAAAGCATTCAATATCACTGGTCATCAGAAAAATGTTTACCAAAATCATGAGATATTATCTCACTCTGGCAAGTATGTCTGTCATCAAAAAAAAAAGAACAAGAAGAAAAGAGCAGAAAAGAATCCAAGAAAAGCCAGCCCTCACACAGTTTGAAGAAAATTGCAATTAGTATATTCATTATAGAAGGCATTCATTAATGCATTTCCATAAATACATACAATGTTTGTTTTTTGTATCACTAAAAAATTTACTATAAGATGAAAGATGGATAACATGTTTTGGTGATGTTGCTTAATATATATTTTAAATATTAAACACTTGTGGTAGTTTAAGTGAGAATTAGTCCTATAGGATCATATATTTGAATGTCTAGTCTCTTGCTGATGGATTGTTTGAGAAAGATTAGAGGTGTGGCCTTGTAGGAGGTATGTCACTGGGGTGGGGTGGTTTTTGTGATCCATAAAGCCCACCCTAGGCCCACATCTTTCTCTCTCTCTCTTTCTCTTCTCTCTCCTCTCTAGATAGATAGATAGATAGATAGATAGATAGATAGATAGATAGATAGATAGATAGACCAACAGACAGATCCTGATGGCCTGCTTGGAGAATGTGTTTTTCAGCTACTTCTCCAGTACCACAACTGCCTGCCACCATGTTCCCCACCATGATAAATACTCTGAAACTAAACAAGGCTCCAATGATATAAGAGTCACCTTGGTTATGTTTTCTCGTCACAGCAGTAGAACACTGACTGATATAATATTTTCTAAGTAGGAGATTTCTTAAAAGATTCTGCACAAGAATATAAGAATAAAGTCTCTATACGGCTGGGCTCAGAGCACATACAAAACAGTTCCCTGTTTCTCCTCTTATGTAGTACATTTTCTGTACTCACCTAGTCCTTACGGTGAAAATTCTTCTGGAGTGCTTTGCCCCTGGTCTAAGTGTTCCATTCTGGACAATACCAATTAGCCCTCTGTGCTGTAAAGATGGAGTTTCTGCCTTCCTTTATGCTCATATCCTTCCTTCATTCTCTGAAACAACTACTTAGAATACTGTGGTACACAGCATGCTCTAAATCAGGTGTTCTTCATTCATTATCTTAATTATATACATTTAATTTTTTTATTTGAATTGCCATTACATTAAGTGCACATTTGATAATTTTTAAATCTGCCACTTTTAAATACATTTTGTCTGCACAGGGTATGTGCCATGGTGTACACGAAAGAGACAGGGATTGGTTCACCCCTTTCTTCACCAGTCTTGTCTCTGCCTTGTGTTGGCCCCAGAGAACTGAACTCAGATCACCTGACTTGGAAGCATGCACTTTGCTCCCCGAGCCACCTCCCCCCTCCTAATATTTGACAATGTTTAAAGCTAAGGGAGAAAGTAGCAAGCAACAATGGTTGGTACATCAAAGGAATTAATGATCTCAAATGATTTTACATTCAGAGATACTTCCTACATCAACTCATGCAGCATGTAATGTACAACTATAAAGGAAAACCTTCAATTTAACTAAATGAACTTGATTAAGGGAATGCTAAACACTGGAGAGAGATGTGCAAATTTTGGCTAATTCATGGCATATTGCAAAGTTTTCGAAACATCATCACATTTTTCAGAATTTCTAATATGTAAAAGACTGAAATTCCACATACACAATCCCATGATAGTTTCTTAGTATTGTCATGGTTTAAGTTTACTCTTTGCTAATAAAATTTGTGTCACTTTGAGGACCTTTTCACATTGTGTTTTGGATGCAAAAACAGACATGGAATTTAAGGTGACAATTTTTCTGTTCAAAGAATAAGTAATTTAGTAAAGATGTGGTTGTATCCACATAAGCTACAGGAGTATCCCATGGGATAAAGACATAACAACCATACAATGAAAGAAAATAATTATTAGAAAGATTAAATATAAAAAATAGATGAGTGAAGACTAAAATTAACACAATAAATTCTTTCTTTAAGTTGAATGACCTCTATATAAATGGTAGAAAGAAAGAATTGGAAAAACTAGCATTATGCAAGCATTATCTTAAGTGACTGAAGAAAATACCGATGTATGTATCAGCACTATTGGGTTAAAGAATGATTGAAGATAATACATCTCAAAAGTCCGGAAGCACTTCTCCACAAACTAGTTTAATTGCATAAGAGAAGGTTTAACTTTACTGGAGAAATTTGGAAGAGATTTCCTTACCTAATTGTCAAGGGCAACTGTATCAATAATGAAAGAGATACACAGAATGTACTTAAGAAGTAATCAATATCTCTTTTATTGTAGATGGTAAAAATGCATAAACTGACTTAATCTTTAAGAAACACCAAGCATATGCAACTGGAGGACTTTTTACCAAATATCTGTATCA